TGTGGCATGGCTCCCAGTGTTGCTCCCACGATGACCGGAATCGTTTCTGTCTTTACTTTCCCCTCATCCTGACTATTTCAGCATTTTGTCTGCTTCATTATCTACTTGGTGTTTTTTCCGCCGGTACGGATACCTCAATCAGGTTACACCATTTTTCCACATTGTGCCTCAGAATAATATCCGGTTTGTTGGCTGGCACACAGTTCTGTCAGTGTGGATTTGTTGATCATACAGTACTGTGCATGGTCCTACTGTCGCAACCGGGCTTGGAATGTGGTCGTACCACTGCTTGGGTAATCCATCCATTCCATTTTCGCGACAGATATTCCAGTGAAGATTTAAACAAATTTTATTTTGCCTCTCCAGATATTCACGTTTTGCCAATATCGGAAAACCGGAAATTAAATGGTCGATGGTTTATTATTATTATTATTATCATCAATACCGCTCACTTTTATTTTTTTTTAACTACTTAACAGGTTTGTATAAATGTTGATAAACTTAACACACGAAAATTTTGTTTTTAAGAAATTTTTAATTTTTTTGCAAAATGAGGGGCGGGATGTTATTTTTCTTTTCCAAGAAATTTTTCCCTTTTAAAATTCCGGATGGGGATCGGGATGATGTTTTTCCGTAATTTATTATTATTATTATTATCGCCTCGAAAAAAATTTTTAGATTATCAAAAAACTATTTTATCATTTATTATTGTTTCGTCGACGATTTCGTATAAATTTCCGTTGCGCGAACAACACGTCATATTTTTCACGCCATTTTTTTTTTCGCGTTCAAAAACATTTAAAAATTACCTTAAAGTTATCATTATTTTTAATCTATTTAACAAAAATCAAAAATTTTTTATTTATTGTTGTTGTTGTAAAAGGAAACATAAAATTGTTGTTGTTGTTGTTGCGTCAAACTTTGTCATTTCCTACGTAATTTTCATATTGCAATAATTTGAAATTTTTTTTTTTTTTTGTTTTTTTTTTTTTTAGAAATAAACTAAATTTTTTGTATTTCGTAACGACCAATAAAAACCTTTTTTTCTCAGGTAAAAAAACATAAACATAAACATTGGAGTAACGTCAAATAATAATAAAAACATAATCATATTAATTCGAACTTAAAAAAAAGGATGGTTAATTAAGCGATAAAAATAAGATTTCAAAATGTTAAAACCTTTCCTACAAAAAAAAAAAGAAACAAAATAATAATAATAATAATAAATGACGGCGTGGTAAACACCACAAATTTTTATTTAATAATAATAATGATAATAATTGAAAACTAAACCGAATTTAATGGAGTGTTTTGTAGGCTTAATCACTATTTTTCAACTCGCCATCCATCATAATCGAAAATTTTTAGTAAATATTTATACACGTTAAAAAAGAAAAAAAAATGTCGGGATTTGAAACCTGAAAAAAGGAAAAAAGTAATTGTTTTGTAACAAACTAGGCGTTACTCGGGGAGCAACCTTGACTTATTTGTTAAATCAACGATGACGATATTTGCCGAATGATACGAGCCTCTGGAGAGCCAACATCGATCACTAAATTCTGACAAAATATTTAAAATCATTATGACTTGCCATTTTAAAGTAAAAAAAAAAAAAAAGTTTTAAATGTGTTTCTATCCCCCCTCCCTCCCTCCCCCCAAAAAAAACTTATTTTGTGTCTTTATTGAATTCGGTATACCGTTTCCGCCGCGAACTGTTCCGCGAATGAAAATATTTAAATTTCGGTATTTCCGGTTTGGATTTTTTAAAAAAGTATAAACATAAAACTTTTCTTTATTATCGAAACTGTTAACGGAGGGAAAAAGTTAAAAAAATGTAACGTTATCAAATATCCCGAGGTGAAAATGCTGTTGTTGTTGTTGTTGTCGTGTTGAATGAAACAACCGCAGGATAAAACAAAGTCGAAAAACTTGTCAAAAAAAAGGAGGGCGGCGACGGCAGCGGGAGGGAAAAGGAGGAAAAACCTTATGAAATTTTTAAAAAAATTAGAAAAAAAATAATTTTTTTGTAAAATCTTTAAATAACAAAAAAACAGTCAAAGGAAACGTGCATTTAAAAACCGAGACAAAGGAAACGAAAAAAAATTTTTTTTAAAATTTTTGTTCAGAAAAATTTTTATCGAAAAAAAAAATTTTTTCTTTTTTTTTTTTTATACCGTAACGAAATCCCGAGGGAATATATAAAAATTTAAAAAAAAAAGGAAAAAAGGAAAAAAATAAAAGGAAATATAAGTAAATAATAAAAAGAAAAAAATTCGCGTGCGTTAAACGCGCGTGCGCGGGCGACTTTCAAAATTTAATATTTTCCATTTTCCAAACCCGGTTTAATTTTTTTTTTTTTTTTTGGATTCATTATTTTATTTTCGACGCCATTTTGTTTACATTATTATTATTATTATTAACTGACGTAAAATAAAATTACAAAAAAAAAATCTCGGAGGTTTTGCTAAAAAAAAAAAAAAACCGAATAAATTTTAACGAATTTTCAAAAAAATTATTATTATTATTATTCATTTTATTTGATTAAACATCAAAACTAATTATCATCTTTTTTCTTCTGCTTCTGCTGTTGTTATTATTTTCCCCACCCCCACCCTCCCCCCGCTTTCTTCAAACGTCTAATTCGATTAATTTTCAATTTGTTTGACAAGTTTTTTTTAAAAAAAAAAAAAAAACTTTGTTCGAGAATAAAAATTCTTATTGATTTTTCAATCTTCTTTTAATAAATACATATACAAAAATTAAAAAAAACTTTAATATTAATAATAATAATAATGATAATAATAATAATAATAATAATAATTTTGTTTTAAATATTTCGAATTACTTTTTAACTTTATTTTTTTCTCTTTCACTTAACACTTTAAACAATTAACCAAACTAGAATTTTAACTTTTTATTATTATTATCATCATCATCACCGTCGCCATATTGATCGATCGATATTTTACAAACGGTTAGTTTATGATTATTTTATTCGGTTTTTATTATTCTCGTTAGTGTTTAAGAGTAAATAAAGGAGAATAAATCGATTCGAGATCATTACAAACAAATCGACATTAAATTATTATTATTATTATTTAGGTAGGACCTAGGTTTTTTTTTTGTTTGTTTAATTATCATTATTGTTATTAAACTAACCAATTAGAGAGAGATAGAGAGAGAGGATGGATTGTGTATCTGTCCTTTACCGATAGTTTCCGTTTATAAAATTTCGTTTGGTGTGAATTCGAACAAAGGAAAAGTTATTTATTTATATATTATTATTATTATTTGATGAGTAAAACAAAAAAGAAAAGATTTAAAAATTCAAACGAAATAATAATAATAATAATAATAATAATAATGATAACGAAAAAACTTTTCTTTTGCAGAAAGAAAAGAAGGGAAAAAAGAAAAAGAAAAAAAATTAAAATTTTATTTTTATAAAAAGAGAAGAAAATCTGACAGAAAAAAAAGAGCTGTGGAAAAGTCTAATTTAAAAAAAAAAGGAAAAAATTATTAAAAAAAAAAAAAAAAACGGGAAAAGGAAAGAAGAAGAAGAAGAAGGGAAAAAAGGAAAAAAAATGAAAAAAAAAAGGAAAAAATAAAATTTTTTTTTTTTTGATGCAAACTGAAATTGAATATCCCATGGAATAAAAGCAGTAACATGTAACGTATAGACTGGAGTAAACAACAAGTAATTTATCATGGGCGCTGACAAGGTTCGCTCTCTCATTGGTCAATATCTCGTCACGTGGTATGCTAATTGGGTGATGGGGGGCGTTAACTTTTTTATTTTTTCCTCTTCCACTCTCTCTCTCTCTCTCTCACTCACTCTCTCACTCGACTTATTTTTTTTTTCTTTTTTCTTTTCCTCTCTTCTCTCTGGTTTTTTTTCTTTTTTTTTTTCGGTTGTGTCAAATTTTTCATTCTTTTTGTTGAGTTCGGTTTACGGTACGTCGAGGATCGAATTTTTTATTTCTCGTTTTTTTTATTTTTTATTTTTTTTTGTTTTTATTTTTTTAATTTTTTTTGTCATCGTCGTCTTGGTTGTTGTTGTCGTCGTTTGTAACAAGACTCGTTCTACGTTTGTCGTCTTTGTGGATTTTTATTAAAATAAATTTTTATTTATTTCAAAGAAAAGAAAAAAAAATGCGCGAATTCGGTGATAATGTTATCGGGCCGTTAATTAAACTTTATTAATTAGTGAAGGTAAATAAATAAATTTATTATTATTATTTTAAATAACAATAAAAAGTGATGATGATGATGATAATTTAAATATTATAAAAATTTAGTGCGTATCAATCGACACAATATCAATTTATTATTATTATATTTGTTTATTTATTACCGTCGTTCCAAAAAAAAAAATTTTTATTGGAGTAATTTTTAATAAACCGTCGATAATTATTACGGTAATTATTTTTTTTTTAAGCGTAATTAATTATTATTTTTTTTTGGGGGAAAGAGGGGCAGAAACAATAAAAATTTTTTTAAAAAAATATTTTACATCGGAAATATTCATCGTAATTTTTTTTTTGTTTTTTGTTTTTTAAATATTTCGTGTTATTAATTGATAATATTAATAATAATTATAAATTTTTCTCCTGCTTTCGTTTTTCTTTTATTTATTCACGTGAATAAAATTTTATGTAATAAATTATTTTAAAAAATCGACCGACGGTATTTAAATTTTCATTTTTCTTTTTAAATTTTTTTTTCCCCTTTTCCTGTTAATAAATACATTTATTTATGGATATTTATTAATTATTTATTTTATTTTTTTTTAAATAAAGTTCAAAAAAAAACAATCAATCAATCAATCAAGTGAAAATTAAAAAAATTTTTTTTTTAAAAAAAGTGACTCCTCAAAAAAAAAACCGAAAAAAAAGTTTAAAAAAAGTTAAAAAAAAAAAAAAGAAAAATTATAAATCGATTAAAAATGTTGTGGTTGTCGTTGTTGTTGTTGTTGTTGTTGTGAAAAGTGTGCGAAAAAAATGAGTTCTTTTTTAATGAATCCATCGTCTGCTTACACCCACCATTCGGTGGTTGTTGATCCGAAATTTCCACCGACAGAGGAATACAGTCAAAATAATTATATATCGTCTCCAGTAACTGGACCCGATTATTTTGGAAATCATCAACAGTACGGGGGTTATCATCAAACGTCTGGAACACCTTATAGTGCAACCACTATGGTTCACATATCCGCCAATGGACCCGGTAATTAATTATTATTATTACTATTATTTTCCTCACCGTAAAAATTACGCAAAATGATTTTATTTTACTGGAAAAACGCATAACACGTCGCATACATTAAAACCAATGGGGAGGATGGGGGTGGGTGTGTACGAGTGGGTGGGATGGAGGGAAACGACTTGACACACGTCAAATAATAATAATAATAATTTAAAAAAAAAAAAATTTTTTTTTTTTTTTATAAAAAGTGACAGAAAGAAAATTAATTAATTTTAAAGTATTTTTAACTTTGATGGACGTTATTAAAAAAAAAAAATTTTTTTTTTTTATGAAATCGAAACGACAATTGAAATCGATGAATCTAATTTAATATTAAGAAGGAACGTTAAAAATTTTTTTTTTTTTTAAAGACGCGTAAAAATGCTTTCTAAAACCACGACAGAATACATTTTATTATTACTAATAATTTTTAAATGCAAAACTGTTGTATAAAAAATTTTATAAATTGCGTCCTTCTATTTGAATTGTCAATTTTTTTTTTTTTTGTAAATTTTTCTCAGTACGTAAACGTTTATTGTTATTATTATTATTATTAGTGAGGTTTAAATAAAAATTGAAATACCTGTTAAAAATGAAATTTATCAATTTACGGTACGTTTACAAAATAAATTTTAAAAATTTTGTTTCATTCATTATTAAAGTAGGTTGTAATGAATAATAAATTGCCGGTTACTTATATAACGAAAAGAAAATCATTACAGTGACAAATTTTATACTGATTCGAAGGGTGTGTGAGTGTGCGTAAGTGCGTGCCAAGAGTCATTTATATTTACTTAGAAAACGTACAATATAACGTACGAGAGTAACAACACAATTGTATTATTATTTTTTTTTACCTTGATTACCTTATTTATTTTTTTTTTTTTAATAAAAGAAAAACATTTATTATTATTATTATTATTATTATTATTCGTTATTTACATTTCAGTTTCGGGATACGGAGGATACGAACCGCCCAACAGTAACAATTATTATCACACTCTACACCATCAGCATTCGATGCATCCTCACCACCACCATCATCATCACTCTCATCATCATCATCATCATCCCACGTTGCCTCCGGAAGCTCAACAGGCACCTCCCACGGTACAAACCGGAGGAATGCAAGGACTTATTCCTATTCCGCAACAACCGAACGTTATAAAAAACGAAATTCAACTTTTACAATCGAAAAATGATGTTGAAAAATGTGAAATGAGTGCGTATAATAATTCTGCTCAGTATAATAATGTTAAAAGTGATACCTCCTCGAACAACATACAAACGGAAGTGTCGTTGAATCATAGTTTACCAAATGTTAAAGTTGATGTACAAAGTGCGGAATCTCCGACGTTACGACGAAATAATGAGGATGACACGAGGTCTTCTCCCGTGGGACGTCACATTACACAGGAACCATTATCTAGAAATTCACCGTCCAGAAAAAATTCACCTCTTCAAAGGCATGCAATGAGGTAACGGAAATTTTAATTTTTTTTTATAATCTAACTAACGAGAAGAAAATGGTTTTCCCTTTTTCTTCGGTGAGGGGGTGGGACGAGGAGGAGGAAAGCGGGGAAAGGGGTGTTGTCGTTAAATTGTTTCGCCCACGACATGATAGTTTTAAAAATTGATCGTTTCCGCCAGTTAAAAAAACAAAAAAATAAAATTCTCTGTGTTCTTGCACAAATTGTAAAATTTGTTTTTTTTTTTTTTTTAATACATAATTTTAGTTCGTCTCCGTCGTATCCTCATCAAGATTCAACAACCATGCCTCTACAAGAACTAGTCCAACAACATGGATCTTTAGAAGATGAGGATACGGACGATTTAGATGATGATATGCTCATGATGGACGAATCACCGGATATGGACGACGAAGGTTCCGAATCCGGTGATAGAGTTATTTATCCGTGGATGAAAAAAATTCACGTTGCCGGCGTCGGTGAGTTTAAATTGTTTTATTTACCACCATGTTACCGCCATGTTTGAAACTAACTAACGCTAAACATAACAAAAATTTTTCTTAAACAAAAGTGTTTGTTAAAACTTTTCGCACTTTTAATAAAAACTAAACGTAATTTTTAAAAACAAAAAGAAAAAAATGAAATTTTTTCGAAATTACTTCTTATATACGTAAAAAAAAAAAAATGAGTAGTTATGAAAGTAGTTAAGTTTTTGTTATGATTGATAATAGATAAGAGAAATAGTTAAAGATTGACGACAAGTGAAATTTGACGTTTATCTTAGATAAAATTAATGCGAACCATTTAAACACGTGACTGATTGTCATTTAATCAACAGTTTCTTATAAACTTTCATACCGTCGGAATAAATTATTATTATTATTATTATCACCATTATTATTTTGTCAGTTAAATAACTAAGTTATGCGTGCGGTAAATCAATCAGATTGATTGATTTTACATCAGGAAAAAAAAAAATTTTCCTTTAAATTTTCCTAATTTATTTATGGTAGATTTTTTGAAAAAACTAAAAAAATGTCTGTCGGATTATAATGGAAAAAACAAAACAATTACGACAACAGCGAGGGGGGAAAAAACGAAACAAAGCAAGGAATAATGATAATAATATTTTGACATTTAAATTGTTATTTTTTTGTTTTTTTTTTTTTTTGGTGTTTTTACAGCAAACGGTTCGTTTCGACCCGGCATGGAGCCAAAAAGACAAAGGACGGCTTATACGAGACACCAAATATTAGAACTCGAAAAAGAATTTCATTTTAACAAATATTTAACGAGACGTAGAAGAATAGAAATAGCTCACACTTTAGTTTTGTCGGAAAGGCAAATAAAAATATGGTTTCAAAATCGGAGAATGAAATTTAAAAAAGACAACAAATTGCCCAACACAAAAAATGTTAGGAGAAAAACAAATCCTGCCGGAGTTACGACAACGATATCGAAAACGAAAACGCCACGTTCGAAAATATCATCATCATCATCGGCATCCGATAAGAGAAAATCCGTAAATGATAATACATCTATAACAACAATAACGGATATGAACATGAGGCAAATTAACAATAATTTAATGGATCATCATCATCATCATCATCATCAACATCAACAACAACAACAACATCATTCATCATCGAGTCCGACCAATAGTCTTAACATACACATGAGTTCGACATTTGGCCAGTTGACCCCTTTGGCACCATCAGTACAAAATTGCGCACCATCAAATTCTCCGCAAAATATTAAATCCGATTATGGTTTAACGAGTTTGTAGAAAATTTTACCATCTCTCTCTCTCTCTCTTCCACTCTCTCTCTTTCTTTTAGTTTTTAATAACGATTTTTCTACCATCGATTCACACACAATTTTCTAACGAAAAAAAATCCGTACCGAATTAACGCAGGACCGTAAATAATTCATATTACGTGCCGAAAACCCCTTTCGTGATCATTCATTATTTAAAATTATTATTAAATATTAAAAACTTTTCAAAAATAAATAAATAAATAAATATTTGATGATGATGATGATTAAAAAAAAAAGGCCGAAACGTAAAAAATTTTTTCCGCTCTCCAATCAAAATCTAATACCGGCCCTTATAATCCCTTATCCGTCGCCTATAATCGATTCTGCGCAAATAAATTTTCCTTTTTTCCTTTTTTTTTTTTAAAACGAAAATAAGAACGTTTGATGACGTCATTAAAAATAATTAATACTGATGCTCAAGTAAACAAATTATTAAATCACGTGATTAATAAATAATATTTATCACATAGAGACGGATAAAAAAAAAAAAAAAAAAAAAAACAAGAAATTTTGTGTGTTTGCGTGCGCGTGTGAAATCCATGCCCGTTTTTTTTTATTTTTTTTGACGTTTAATAAATTTTTAAATATTATTAAATTACGTAAATACATAAATACATAAAAGGTATTAATAAAAAAAAAAAAAAGCCCGTTCGGTTAAAATCTGGTCTGACCATCGTTTTTTTTCGGGGGACCGATTTGAACTACATAAATTTCGGTTATTTTTTTTCTACTATATAAATAATAAGCAATAAATTTTAATTGATTGAATTCGATTCAGGAAATAAAATAAATAATCGATAAATAAAATCGATTCACACGAAAATAAATAATATTTCGGCGGGATGACAAAAAAAACAGAAACAAAAAACTCGAATCCGCCATTTTAGGTAAGACGAGTTGGATGCGAAAAAAGTTCAAGACTTTTCTGTTTGTTGTTTTGTTTTTTTTTCAATAAAAAATAGTTATGCAATTTAAATCTTTTGTTTTAAATAATAATAATAAACAATAAAATCATTATTTAAAAAAATTTGAGGGAAAAATAAAAATTGTTGTTGTTGTTGTTGGTACGACTGTTGTTGTTGTTGTTTACGTTTTTTTTTTCCCCGTCATTCAAATTTATATAAACAAACGTAAATTTTTTTTTTTTTTGCATTCGAACATAAATGAAACCTTAATTAACTTTGATGTTTTTTTTCGTTTTGTTTTTGCCACGTTTCTAACGCCTATTTAATCATCATCATCATCATCATTATTAATAATTAAACAAAAAAGGAAGTGGAAAAAGATACACACACTCAGAGAAACTTCCGGTGGAAAATTTTTTTAAAAAAAATATACATATAATTGTAGTTTAGTTTGTATAACTCCAAAGATAGATTTAGTTTAAGAGTTAGTAATTTAGTAAAAAAAAGTGTAAATAACTTTTCTTTATTTTTTTTTTTAGGGGGGAAGGAGTGGGGAGTGTGGGGGAGAATGTAAGTTCGGTCCAAAACAGGTAAACTAAGTAAAATGAGAGGGAGGAGGGGGATAAAAAAAAAAGAAATTTTTCTTTAAAAATAATTTCGAGTGACGAAAATAATTTTTTTTTTTTTAAACACGACACGACGCACACGTTTGAACAATCAAAAAATTCCTTAATAATAATAATAATAATAATAATAATAATGATAATAATAATGATAATAATGCGTTCGTGTGTCGGTTTTTTTTTTGTGAAAAGTTTATTTTATTTAAATATATTTATATATATATATATATGTGTTTAAAAGAAAAGGGCATTCGAATTATCATCTCCTCACGATTTCCATTCCATTCCAGTGATTATATGCTAAGTATTATAATAAAACATTCGCGTAAATCCTCGCTCCAGTGACCTAAAATTAAATACGACTAATCATTCTAAATTTTTTTTTTTACGAAACGGATTCACACTGGAGATAAAAAAAAAATTCTAGAAAATTCTTTTAGGACGTTTTGGACTCGAACTAAACCGTTTTTTTTTTTAAAAAATATTTTTCCAGTTTTTATTGAAAATTTTTTTTTTGCACGCGGTTATTTATTATTATCTGGAACGAAACCGCTTAATCTTTTTTTTGTGTACAAAAAATCGATTGTTCTGTTTTTGGAAAAACAAAAAAAAAAGAGAATTGAATTTTTTTAAATAAAAAAAAACAAAATTGTTTTGATGAGTGTCTTAAATTGTCCAATAAAAATATTAATTAAAAAAAAAAATTTATAAAATATTAATTATTGTTTTTATTATGTATCGTGCGTGCGCGTGTGCGTAGTTTTCCTTTTTTAAACATGTCGCGACAGCCATTTTGTTTTTTTTTTTTTTTTTTTTTTTTTTTTACGAAAGAGTGTTGTTATTGTTAATACCGACGACAACAACAATAAAAAAAATTATTCCGACAAACGAATCGGTTTGAGTTTCACACGATGAGTTTATTTATCAATCGGAAAATAATAATAATAATAATGATTGACTCATGTCATTTTTTCCTTTGAACCCTTTCCATTGTTTCGTTTGTTTTTTATTCTTCTTCTTCATTTTCCAAATCAACAACATTTGTCAGTATTATACGGCTCACTTACATTGTGGACAAACTCAAGAAAAAAGTTTTTTTTCGAAAGTCGCAAAAGATTTAATAAAAATGTTTTCTATCTCTTTCCCTCTCTCTCTTTCTCTTTCTTTCTTTCTTTTTGTATTTCCAGCCGAAAATTCTTTTTTTTTTTCTTCCTTTTGTTTCCCTATTTTTTCCCTTCTAATTGCAATTTCCCAAGAGTATTTCGAATTTTTTTTTTTTCTTTTTTTCTTTGTTGAAAAATTTTTTTTGTTTCTTTTTCATTTTCTTTTTCGACTCGAGTTTCGAGTTATTATTATTATTATTATTACTGTTATGAATTTGTCAGAACAAAAAAATATTTTTCTTTTTTCTTTTATGACAGACGTGTTGATAATAAAAAAAAATTTTTATTTTCCCTTTTTAAAAAAATTTATTTTTCAACAGGTTCGATCGCGACCATTTTACAAACTTTTTTAGTATAAATTTCGAATTTTTTTTCTTCATTCGAAATGATTTTTCCGCCATATTTGTTTATAAAATGTCTATTTTCCGAGGTTACAAAAAAAAAAAAATTTTTGATTCTTCGCATTGCAAAAAAAAAAAAAAATAAATAAATCAATCGAAATATTGAAATTTTTTTTTTTTCATTTCGTTTGTTTGTTTGTTGATTTGTTTGTTCGACGCCATTTTATATATACATATATATTTTTTTTTTTCGTAAATTGTAGAAACTTGAAAACTAAGGGGGAGAAATAGAAAAAAAAAAAAAAAAGAGAAGAAGTAAAATGAAAGAAATAGGCGGACTTAAATGGAGTTGGACAACCATGTTAAGATCTCAAATAAAAAGGGATGATCTTTATAAGAGTGATAACCATTTGCGCTCGATTTTATTTTTTCCGTTTTCTTTTTCTTTTTTTTCCTTTTTCTTCCTTTTTTTTTTTTAATAATTCGGATTATTATTATTATTATTATTATTACATAAATACTCATACCATATTTTACGCGGCGTTACATAAAAAAAATAAGCAATTAAAAAATATAAAAAAAAAAAATATTCGAAATGAAATATTAATGGCAATCAATAATATCGATAAAGATTTTTACAGGTGTGGCCGAACGATTTATAAACGGAAATCATTTTAAACCAGTTTGAAATTCACGAAAAAAATATTAATAATAATAATAATAATGACGACGACGGCGACATTAAGGTTAAGTCAAAAATTTTTTTTTTTTTTTTTTTTTTTTAAATATTTGAAGGTGAAATATTAATAATAAATCGGGAATATTTTATTTACCTCACTCGAATTGTTTTATAAAAAAAAAAGAAAAAAATTTTAATATAAAAAACAAAAAATTTCGGCCATTTTGTTTTTTTTTTGCTATAGGAGTAAAAAATATAAAGAAAGAAAGAAAAAAAAATGCTTAAATTTGCCTCACTCTTTTATCTTCTGCTACTCAGCAACGTTCCGACGAGATGACGAGGGTTGAAAATTTTGAATTACTAAATCAAAACGAATTGTAAAAAAAATGAAAAATGTATTTAAAAATTCATTTCTCAATACGTCTTCTTATAATAAAAAAAAATTTATATCTATATATACATTTACGTATATACATAATGAACTTTTTTTTTCTTTCTTTCTTTCTTTTTCTTTCTGATAGAAAAAAAAAAAAAAGGTTTTGCTAATAAACTGAATATTTTTATATTAATAATAATATCGATTGAATTTTGTAAATAAAAAAAAAGGAAGGAAATAAAACGAAAAAGAAAACGAAAAGGAAAAAAAAGATTTTTTTTTTTTTAGAGTTAAAATTAATTAATTTACCCTGTAGTTGTTATGAAAAAAAAAAAATTCCATTTTTTTTTCTTCTGCTAGAAAACACAACAAGTAAAAAAAAAAAAAAAATTTTAACGTGGGTGATTTTTTTAAGTAGTTGTAGTAGTCAACCGGAAGACATTGGCAAAAAAAAATTTTTTTAAAGTGGTCAAACGAGATTTTTTTTTTAAATAACAAACAAACAAACGAAAATTAGGTTAAAAAAACAAATAATATTCCCGCATACAAAAAAAAAAAAATTTAAATGAAGATTAAGATAGAAAATTACGAAAAAATTATTTTTTGAACGCCGCAAACAACAACAACAAACGAAAGAAACAAACGATTAGAGTGTCAAAAAAAAAAAAAAAATTGTTGACTGGAAAAAGATGTTTTTGAAAAGCTGTCTCGCAATATAATATCTTTTTTTTTCATCATTATTATTATTATTTGTTCGTTTGTTGTTGTTGTGTTATTATTATCGAATTTTATTTTTAAAATGAAAATCGAGAAGGCATCGTAGGAAATTTTTTTCGCGGTTTTAAAATTTATTTTCATTTTTTTAATTATCAAAATGGCCG